GTCGACCTGACCGCACCCAGTCTGGTGCCCCACCCGCCAAGGGTCAGATGCGAAGGGCCAGACAGGCACCAGGGGGCGTGCGGGACCGGTGACGTCACTGCCCTCCCCTCCCCCTCGCCCGGGGGTTGGGGGAGGCTGAGCAGAGCCCTGGCTCCCGTCGTTCCAGCCCCCGCGCCCCGCCCGGGCCAGCCCTGCGGTTCTCGGCTGTCCCAAGAGAGGTGGGAATGTAAGTGTTGGTTCACACTGGGAATGGCCTGGGCGAGGGACATGAGGCTTGGTTCTCGAAGCTTCCAGGGGCTGAAGGTGCGGGGGAGGGGACCGAACATCGTGCAGGGAGGAGCAGGGAGCCCCTTTGACCCAGGGCAGGGAGCGCACCGTGCTGAGGATCATCCAAATGAGTCTTGGGCACCACGTGTCTCCACGGTCCTCACATCCTGTATAGACTCCCTTAATTCCTTAGCAAGTCCATACATACATGTCACCCGATCTTAAGTAAAGATCTGCGCTACAGAAGATGAGGGACTTGTCCAGGGTCACACAGCTGGTACTTGACAGGCCCAAGACGGAATCCTAGGCTCTGAATCCAAACCACCTCCTAACCTCATAAAAAGGTCCAGGAGAGGGCAGCTGTCACGGGCAGAGGTCCCCACTTTGCGGGGTCCTGTTGACTCATTTAGCACTCGCCCTGCAGTCTGGAGCAGAATGCCAACTGGCTCATTCCCAGGGAGCACTAGGCCTGCCAAGGCAGAGAGCTCTGAGTGAGCACACCCTCTCCCGGAGGGGAGCCATGCTAGAGCCAGGTCATTTGGAGATGAGCTAGAGGAGTCCCACACGACACAGGCCATTGATGGACTGGGGGGAACCTGGGCTCTGCCCAGCTGAGGTGACCATCTCCACACTCACTGCCAACTTGCCCAGGAACCAGACGGGCCTCACTGCCAGCCTGGCCTGCGTGTCAGACCTACTGGCTGGCTGACCCCCCTTCACTCCCACTCTCCCTGTGTGTCAAGACTCGAGTTTCAGGCAGGGCCTGCTGGCCAGAGCAGAGCTCTCTCTTTAAAGTGACTCTGCATTTCTCTGCTCACATCCATTTTGAATCACTATCATTGTTTAAAATACTGAGAATAATTTATTTTCCCAATAATTGGGGTTTTTCTGTCAAAAGCCACCCCCCTCCCCCCCCATTATACTGCCCTCACCATGCTGTTCTCATATTCACTTAAAAGAATAGATACATATGTATGGTGACAGGTGAAAACTAGGCTATTGGTGGTGAACATGATGTAGTCTATACAGAAACTGAAATATAACGTACACCTGAAATTTACGCGATGTTATAAGCCAATATGACCTCAAAATTTTTTTTAAAAAAGGATACGCAGATATATTTCAATTCATTGTTATACCCGAGGCTTCACTTCTGTTTTCAAGGATGACTGCTGATTTTACTGGGGCTCTTAGCTTTTCAAAAGTATAAAGCCCCAACAATTCACCATATGAGCTTAAATAAGAGGGAAATTTCTGCGTTGCAGTGGCAGCGACCCCAGAGAGGACGGCAGCTGAATACACTGATGCTTCGTACGCAAACGTCACCCGGAAGGAAGATGACTAGCACAAGCCATGGCCGAGTCAGGGATACCTGGCCGATTCTTACGCTCAGCCCTTCCCCCTTACAGGAAGCAAAGCGCTAGGAGGAGCGTTCAGGCCGGAAAGAGGCGGCCTGCCTCCCACAGGTGGTGTTGCCTGCAGAGCGCCTACTTGTGGTCGGAAGCCACCACTGCAGTCGGGCAGGCCGCCGACCTGGGAGCTGCTTTATTTAAGCCCCACCCCTCCCCGTTTTCAGGCGAAGACACTGAGGGCAGAATGGAAATGAGGCTGCAAATTTGGGGGCATTTGCATTAGAAAACATTTTTGGAAAAAATATCCTACTAATTTTCTTGGACATCAATTTAAGTACAGGAAGAAGGAAAGCGACTTTTTTTTTTTTTTTGAGGAAGATTAGCCCTCAGCTAACTACTGCCAGTCCTCCTCTTGCTGCTGAGGAAGCCTGGCTCTAAGCTAACATCCGTGCCCATCTTCCTCTAGTTTATACGTGGGACGCCTACCACAGCATGGCTGCCAAGCAGTGCCATGTCCGCACCCGGGATCCGAACCAGCGAACCCCGGGCCGCCAAGAAGCGGAACGTGCGAACTTAACTGCTGCGCCACCGGGCCGGCCCCCGGAAAGTGACTTTTAATCGAAATGTTTTATCTCCTTCAAATCATTGCTGGGATGGAGAGAAACTTATTAACACCCATCTTTGTCCCCTGGGCACAGGCAGTGAAATAAGTGTTACTACACAGCTAGGGTTAGGCAGGGGAAGCTTGCTGGGAGGGACAAGCAGATGCAATGAAGCAACCATTTTTTCAGTACCTCTGGGAGCCACGTACAGCACTTGCAGCTTAAAGAGTAAAAACAGGAACAGAATGTAGACTCTAACCTGAAAAACACGAGTCTGTCTGCTGGCTGGAGTAAAGAGCATGATAGAAGAAAAGTCACAAAGTTACAAAAGTTCTGAGGTGCAGAGGGGGAAGGAATTGCATAAACCGCCTGTTGCTGTTGGTGGCAGAGGATCAAGAAATGCTTGGCAGGCTCCAGGGTGAGAGACCAGCGTATCACTACATTTGTTTTTAGATTATTCTGTGGCCACATGTGGGATGGGTTGGAGGAAACCTGGGCGAGAGTCCTGGAAGGCCAGGCAGGAGGCGGTGAAAGGACCCAGAGAAGAAACACAGGATCCCTGAAAGGTTGTTGGTGCTGAAGAAAGAGCCCGATAGGACTCTCAGGTTTGGGTACAATAGGGAAGTTGGGAAGAGAAAGCGCATGTTTATCTCGGCCTCATCACCAAAGGGTGCTGCAAAGACTGAAGAATACTCTCCAGGGAACCCCTCGCTTGACAAGAAAGGAATACTTTGTTTTCCACCAACCTGAGATATGTATCCTGGTTTGACATGTACCCCTGGAGTATGTGCACTCCAGTTACCCATGCAGTGACATACTTAACTACCCCAACAGGGCTTCAGAACTCACCAAAGAGCTTACAAAACAGCCCTTAGTGAGGCCTGAAGCCTTCAATTAAATTAAACTGTGAGAAGTGAAGCCCTGATACAGTGCCAACTCTGAGCAATCTGCTGGTCAGGGGTCAGTGAGCAGTCTGGGCTGTGCTGTGCGCCCTTTTGGGAGGAGTCTGAGACACATGCCAAAGGCCAGGGTCAGTGAGGGAAGGCAGTTCACCGTGGCCAGAGCTCTGGTCCCACTTACTGTCAAGGAAGAGTCATTTCTGAGAAGGGGGATGCAGTGGCATGGCCCTCTCCACTGAGGCATTCTCATGGCTCCATACCATCCCATCCCTCCCCAGGCCACAGTTTGGGAAGAGAAGGGGAAGGCCCAGCTTCAGTGCAAGGACACACAGGCCCCTTGTTCCCCAGGAAGGCTGAGCTTTGGTGTCAGGGCCAAGTGCCAGGTGGGGGAGAACCCTCAGGCTACAGCTTCTTCCTCCCTGGAGGTGTGGGAGTGCAGCCAGGAGCTGGGGTAGGGGTTGAGGGAGAGATGGCCAGTTTTGCAGAGCTCATTCCTGGGGCTAAAGGGTGAGGACAGAGTGGAGGGTGTGGCACTGAAAATAAAAGAAAGATGGGGCACTGTCTCCATCCCAAGTCCTATGAAAGAAGGAAGCAGCAAAGAAAAACGGCCTTTCGGAGTCTCAGCCAACAGTCTGGGTGTCCTGGCTCCAGGCCTGTCCCTCCTCTGTGGCCCCAGCAGGGGGCACTGCAGCCCCTCTGAGGCTAAGAGGACTAACTCCCCACCCCCTTACCCCCACCTCAGACCTTGAACCCAAGGCCCATCAGGGTCATGCTCATCCCCCAAGACTCAGTATGCCACCCCTCTACCCTCTCCAGGGCATGAAGCTGTGGCTGGAGGACACAGGGCTCCATGGAGGAAAAAAAAAATGGTTTATTTAATCAGAGAGCCTCTGAAGGCACCTGGTTTCTGTTGAGTATAAAAAAGGCAGTAAAATAGCAACTGCACAGGGCGGATTATGGGTAGGAACAAGGCAGGGGAAATGGGGGAGGGACATGGAGAGGTGGGGGGAGGAGGCACCCAGGGAGAAGAGGGGTGGAAATATCAGACAGGACCTTAGAACAGATAGTCCTGGCCCCTGGCCACCCCTGGAACAGGCAGACGAACAGACAGACAGACACACACACACATACACACTCAGCCTCTGCTGCCCTGCTCAAGCAGGGCTCAGTCACAGCCAAGTGTGGGAGACTGGAGCAGATGCAGAGCCTGCATCCCCTCCCTCGACTCTGACCCTCACTCAGGCCCACAATGTACCCACTGTCCATGCACAGAGGCTCCATCCTCAGGGCCCGGACACCGGGCCCAGCACAGGCCGTGAGAAAGCAGAAGTTGGCTAGAAGAGAAAACCTCCAGACCACCCCTACCCATCCCTGAAGGAGAAGGAAGGGGGTAGAAGCAGGCAGCCAGTGCAGTCCTTCTGTCCATCCACGGTCACACAATTGCCCGGAACAGGAAGGAGAAGACAGCCCCCAGCGCCAGGCCGAGAGACAGAAAGAAGGCCATGATGGCTCCAGCCGTCTCTGCCTCAGCCGGCTTCACCTTCCTACAGAAGGGAGGGCGAGGCTGCCTTAGGACCTCCCCTCCCCGTGCCCCGCCACAGCATCTCGGTCGGGGAAGACTTGCCTGAGCACCTGATTCTGCTGGTCAACCTATTCTACTTGTCCAAGCCCAAGCTGGCTTTTCCCTCTTGGGGGCCATCTTCCACCTTACCCTGAGAGCCCCTCTCCCACATCTCCACCTAAATAAGCCTGGGCCCCCCATCCCTCCACCACCCACCACTACACCTTCAGCCCAGGTGCCCCTCCCTGGCCGTTTCCTCCCTCAGCCCAGAAACCCTAAGCTCCAGGATCAGGGAGTCTCCCTCCGCCCTCTCTCTCTCTACTAAGTGTCCCCCACTGGAGCTCTAGACTCTGCCTTGTGCCACCAAGTTCTCTACTCACTTGGGCCCGAAGCACATGCAGAGACTGGCAAGGTACCCGTTGGAGAAGGCGAAGGCAGCCATGAAGAAGATGTACCAGGCATCGTGCTCAAAGACCACAGACAGGTAGCGGCGTGGCTGGACGTTGCACAGCAGCAGCAGGGGCACGAACACCAGCCGGGCCAGCACCAGGGTTGGCAGCCAGCGGCTGTCCTTTCCAGGCTGCGGGGGACCAGGTAATGCCTCAGCCCAGGCCAGCCTTGAGGGCATACCCAGGCCCCCACAGCTCTATCTTGGGCCCCTCAGGATCTGAATTGAAACTTCAAAGCCTTGTTACCCTTACGGGGTACGGATTGGGAAGGGGCATGGTGGAGCCTTCTGGAGGGCTGGAAATGTCCTACATCTTGACCTGGGTGGTGATTACACACGGGTGTGTGTATATATTTGTGTGTGTGTATTCATTAAGCTGAACACTTAAGTCTTGTACACCGTACCATACGTAGGTTATGGCTTGGTTTAAAAAAAAAGCATGGTCCCCTCACCACCATACTTTCTTGGTTGTCAGACAGTCTCAGGCTGGACTCTTCCCTCTCACAGGGACCCGGTGCCCCCTCCTTTCACTTACCCACATGGTCAAGGCTGTGAGGCTCCGGCCCAGCCAGTCAAAGATATTGAAAATCAAGAAACAAGACACAGGAATGAAGTAGTTTCCTGGAAGAGGAAGAGCAGATTAGGGGATGGTTATTTATTAGGTCCAGAGAGGCAGATTTAGCAACCCTGACCCTCACCGGGGCTCAGTTTCCCCAGCTGTAAAATGGAGATGCTTCCAGCCCAGCGAAGGGCAAATGGACCAGGAGAATTTAGCTGGGAAGACAGCAGCCCAGGCTCCCCTTCTCGCCCACTCCCAGTCCTCCTCGAGGCCCTGTCTGCCCCCATCCTGGGAACCCCTGGTGTCCTCACCCCAGGCGCTGGTGCCCGCAATGCTGGACTTGACCTCAGCGGCCACGGCGGGAAACATCCCAATAGTGATCGTGAAGACGAAGCAGACGGAGAGAGCCGGGACTAAGATCTGGAGGAAAGGGACCCCTGTGTCTTCCTGATGATTGTGCATTCAAGAACCAAGAATCGCCCCCTACACACACACACACACTGACACACACGGGAATCCAGGAGAGTGGCCAGTCTCAGGTCAGAAAGGAAGAGGACAGGTAGAGCAGGGGAGGAGGCGGGGAGCAAAGGAAGGAGAGAAGGAGGGTGAGGGGTGGAGGGCAGGACACCAGGCTCCACATACGTTTTTGAGGATGGCTCGGATAGAGTGGCTTTTATTGGTGGGCTTAGAGTTGGGGGCTGAAACTTCGGACTCCCCTTTGCCTGCTCTTGGCTCCTCTCCTAGGGTGGGTGAGAGGTTATATAAGGATCTTCAAGTTGTGGAAAGGACAGAGCAACAGCAGATGGCACAAACATCCCTCAAAAGGGCTGGGTTGGATACCTCCTTACTCAGCGCCCAGCTGCATGCTAACACCTAGCCCAGACCTCATCCAAATCCCCACAGCTGGGTCCCCTGGGTCCTGACCTCTCCCAGGAGCCCAGGTCATGTTACGCCCTGTCCAAAAATCTGAAATTGCTTCCCACTGCCCTCAGGCATTCAGGGTCACCCGGGACCTCCCCCATTTTATCTCTCCCAGCCTTTATTCCCTATTGTTCCCCTCGCCCCACCCCTGATCCCTCTGGCCTCTGGCTCATTGCTACCAGCAAATACAGTGCACTCATCCTAGTCCACTGCTCATGCTGCCCCCCAGCCCGGCAGGCTGGCCTCCACCCCAGCTTCCTCAGGCTATTCAGACCTTTACTAATGAGGTCCAACTTGGTCTCCTGCTCCCCAGGCCCTTCGAGCTTGAGCTGCTGATAGTAGCGGTAGAATTCCTGTCAAGTGAGGGAGACAGGGGAGGTGGATTCAGAAGTGGAATTCCCCAGCATCTCCACCTCCCTCATGCTTCGGCCACTGAACACCCTTGGTTTGGGGCCCTGGACCCCCAGACCCTAAATCCCAGCTTTCTTCATTTGCTCACCAATCGGGGCAGGCCCAGGTAACAGATGATGGTCAAAATAATAACCACACAGGCTGTGATAAAATAGCCGAAGGCACTTGTTGACAGCTCCGAGCCACCTGAAGTGGAGGGTGTGCGTGATCAGACAGGCCCCACTCCCTCCTCCCCACGACAACCAGAGTGACAGGCAGACAGATAGCAAGACTCACTGGCGATGGCACAGATCATGGCCACTGAGGCGAAGAGGCCTGCCAGGCCCTGGCCACTCATGATGGGAGCCGTGTAGCTGGCTGGCAGGAGGCCTGCCAGACCGAAGAGGCTGCCCTGCAGGATGGCACCGAACGCTGGGGGAACAAGACAGGCATCAGCAGGGGAGGGGGGAGCAGGGGGGGACTCACTTCTGCTGGGGACGGTTGGGGGCCCCTGGGAAAACAGGTCCCTGTGATTCCCGCTTTACTCCCAGTGAGTCTTTTTTCTTTTTAAAGCTTCAGTGCATGGTTGTGGATGCTAGTAGTAAGTGATTTACGGCCACAGTACAACAACTGACAGACAGGTAAGGTGGTTTCATGATGCAGAAACGAACCCGGGCTGCGGCAGTGACAGCGCCGAATCTTAACCACTAGACCACCAGGGCTGGCTCTCCCAGTGAGTTTTGACGCTGAGCGGCCCTTTTCTCTGTCCCCATTCCCAGCCCTGGCCCACACCTGCTCAGGCCTCTGAACCAACCTGACTGCCCATGGCACACATCTCCTCCCAGGGGAGGAATGGGCTCCTCTCTGGCTGACTGTGGGTCTGAGAGAAGGGTAGGGGTGTATGGGAAGATCTCTGCCCCAGGTCCCCTCCCAGCCCCACTTACAATTAATGAGCATGATCTTGATCATGGTGATGACAAAGAAGGACAGAGCATCCAGGTGCACCTTCACCAGGATGGCAGTGAACAGGAACACCAGCAGGATGGCCACCAGGCTGCCCAGGATCCGAACAGCCTGAGGGATCCTGCCAGAGGGGCCAAGGTGGTGGAGAGGGGTGGTTAAGCCAGGGCCTCGGCCCAGGGAGCACCGGGGGCAGCGAGGGGCCAGGCTGGGGGCCCAGACGCTCACCTCTGATGCAGGAAGGAGTTGAGGCAGGTGAAGACCAGCAGGGGCAGCATGGCACATAAGGTCATGACATTGTTGAAGATGGCACTGAGAGAATTCCGCTCTGGAGAGGGTGCTGTGGGGGGTGCCAAGGTCTGGATGTCCTTGCTCAGTTCAGTGGCCGAGGACACATTCTGGGACTGGTCCAGGCGGTTTGTGAAATACTGCGGGGAGTGCAGAGAGGAGTGTTAAACCTCTCTCCCTGTGTCCACGAGTGCAGATCCAGGTCCCATGTGCCCAGTGGACATGCCCGGTCACCCCAGTCTCACCTGAGTGGCTGTCATGAAAAAGTTCCAGGGAAGCAGTGTCCCCAGGCCCAGCATGAAGAAGATAAGCCAGACGGCTTTGTACCTGGAGAGGGGTGAGGAGAGGGGGCCAAGTGACGCACCATCCCCCCTTCTTCCCAGATCAATCCTGAGGTAGCCCCTCCCTCCCTGACCTGCAGACTCTGTGCTTGTGTCCCCCTATGGGTGAATCTGGAGAGGGGAGTGTCCTGGGACAGGGAGAAGGGCACAGACAAATCCAGAGGGGAAGGGGCACCAGGGACACAGGACTGAAGGGCAAGGCCAAAAGGACCTTGGTTCTCAGCCCCAAAGACTCGGGGGACCCTGCAGGCTTGGGAACCAGTGTGACCCACACATCCGGAGGTGGTTTTGGAAATTCTGCTAAAGGCTAGGGGTGGGCTGGATGAGTGAGAAAGCAAACACCAAGCGTTTTCCACCCCCGCTGGGCAGGCCCTGTGTGGCTCCCCAAAGAGGATTCTGAGGTCAGGAAACTCCCAGACCATTCTGGACCTAGCGGGGCAGGCAGGGTGACTTGGGCGGCTGGGAAGTGAGGGAGCTGTTTTTTCCTCGGCCCAGACAGAACCGGCTTTGTAGGTCACACCACGTAGGGGAAGCCAGGAGGTATGGGGCCACTGGGCGTCATCTGGGCCACAGAACGCAAATAAGCACCGGCCCAGCTTTGGCCAGGGCATGCCCCAAGCCCTATACCTCAGGGCCTGTGTGCGATGGAGCAGCTCCCCCCAGGCGGCCCTGGGCCCTCCCTCCATGGTCTCTAGATGTGCCTGTCATTCCCTCCCCGCTTTCTTCACAAAGATGACCAGGGGGCGAAGCCCAAGGCAGGGAGGAGACAGGTCTGGTCATGGCGCAGAGCCTGGGTGACCGCCCCAAGAGGGGACATCTGCCAAGGTCAGAGAGGATGGAGGGTCAGAGTGGGGCTGGGGGAGGGCAACAAGGTGGATGGAGACGGGAGAGGGGTTCGGAGAAGTGCTATCGGAGGGGCGAGGCTGGGATGGGGCACGCAGGCAGCCTGGGAATGGAGCAGCGAGGTGGGTAACCAACCCGAGGCCTGTACTTACTATGTCTCCTTAAATTCCCTCCCATCTGAATAAACTTCACCTCTATTTTACAGATGGGAAATGGTCCCAGAGAGATCAAACCAAGTGCCCAAGGTCCCACAGCCAGAAGTGGCTTAGTTCTGTGGCCTTTGGCATAGGAGGGAGACAGGATGGGCAGGGGAGAGGTGATGCGGTCAGGGGGCCTGAGTTGAAGGGGTTTTGGACCCCAGGCATGGCTTCATCAACATTCTTGGGTCCTAGACTCCTTGGGGAACTTGAAGCAAACTACAGCATATTTCCCCAAAATACATATGCATGATCGCAGTTGCACAATCACAGGTGCTGGTCTAACCTGAGGGAGTTCATAGGCTCCAGAGGTGGGGATGTCAGAGGAAGGTCAGATCAGGGACCAGGGTGGGCCAGGGTCATCTGAGGCAGAGGCCCCAGGGCAGCCCCGAGGGGGAGGGCTGTTCTGCCAGATGTGCTCTGGAATGTAGGATGCTGGCAAATGTCTCCCCAGGGGGAGGAGCTGGAAGCCACTGGCTGG